GTATAAAATAAATCAATAAGAATTATAAATTTATTTAGAGATAAGCTTCAAAAATAATAATTTTTTTTATTATTTTTTATTATTTAATTTTTCTATGTATTGCTGAATTTATTCTGTCTAAAGTTAAGCTTACCACGATTAAATTTTCACTCAGAATAATACATTTTCTATAACTTCCCTTTGAGTATTGAAAGTTCCCTTCCACGTAAAATATTCTAAAAGTGCTCAAATAAATCCTAGATTTCTATACCAAACTTAAATAAATTTTAGTTCAACGAAATTGTAAATCTATATAAAATATAATAATAAATACTTATTGATTCTTAAGAATTGTAGGAAACTTAAAAAATATATATGAAAAATTGGTAAAATGCCTATATCTTCAGAGTATTTGCTAAAATGCCTAGACCCTCTGCTCTCTTTGTCAGAGCTCTCTTCAGGATTATCAATATTCATGCTTATATCTAATTCATTCATCACATGCAGTTTCTCAGGCTTTAATTTATTTCAATAGTTGCCCAGCGAGTATTCAGGCTTTTCGCTCTGGCTAAATCGTTTACTCCAGTTTCGATTGTATTTTCAAAAACAAGTATTTAAATGAGAATGGTTAAATTCAATAATTCCAATTGAAATGGAAATTATGTTACGTGCTGTCATGGCAAAAGGTATTCCCTTTTCTTTTTAATGTAATGGAAATGGAAAATCAAATCAATGAAGAGTGAAAAATTGAAAACCGAAATGTAAACAGAAGCCAGGTGAAGGGGTGGAACGTGTAGAGCGCTGAGCCTGGTGACATTTGCTAAACGCTTAATTGGCATTAAGCACGTAAGGATCAGGCAGTACGAAGTGGACCTTGTTTGCTGTATCCGCCAGTTGACGAGGGGTAAGAGCTGTTGTCAAAGCCAGCCAAGCGTTTGCAATTGTAATTAAGCAGAGGTAGACCGAGCCGGAGACTGAATAAGAGAGACAACAACAACAGCAACAAGAGCAATAGCAACAACAATTGTGCGTCCTTTCAGTTCGCTTCCCGTTCTAAGCTGCTGCTGTATTTATTTAGGCGCTCTACGTGCCGCCAGGCAAAGCCTTTAATGCCCAGCTCAAACAAAGATGCGATTTTGTGGCGCTTACGCACGCAGCCAACCGGCTGGCTGACGATGGCGGCATAAAGGACCTGGGCAGCAGATCTGGACACAGTTGGTAGAACCCACCCCTGTCACGTTGCAAGTCATCAGCAACTGCTGCTGCTGCTGTTGCTGTTATTGTTGATATTATAGCAATTATAATAATTGCGCGCACAAATCGACAGTTACATGAAACTTTTGCTCGTCCTTGGTCCTTGGTCCTTGGCAACTGCACAGCAACAGCGACAGGCAATGGCAACAGGAAATTGCATAAAACTAATTCAGTTCTTGTGCGCTCGCTTCCTGTCCTGTCCTTCCTCGATGTCCTGTCGTCAGCAGCAGCAGCGCAGCAGCAGCAGATTTGCATAACTTTTTCAATTTCACAACTCAAGCTGTGGCCGAGGCCGTGGCATATGTGCCAGCAGCCATAGACACGCCCACACGACCACAGCGACCCACACACGTAGCTCTCGCCCATCTTCAGTTACAGCCGCGTCATCTCCATCTCCATCGCCATTGGCATTGGCATCAGCATCGTCATCGTGGTCGATGCGAATGTCGCTGACATCGTTGCCAGGCTGCTATTTACGTCAATTGCTTGCGCACTCTGTTCGAGTCCTGCCACGTCGATCCTGGGATGAGGCAGGAGTCCGATGGCAATGACGGCAGCACTGGCAGCGCTCCACTGCTGGCTGCGTCTTTGGTGTCAATTCGTTTGCGTGGAAAATGCTGCTACGCCGGAAAAATCACAAGCCACTTGGTGGGCTGCCATGTATAGACGGCAAACTGCTATAGTTCGTTTAATTTTATTTCTATTCTCCCTTGTCTCGCCTTACCTGCTTGATGCAGATATCAGTTACTCGGCGAGCGGGTCACCCGGGTGACTCTGACACGTAATTGAACTGACAGCAGCACACCTGAGTCTACGTGTGGCCTAGGCCCGCTTTTAAATGCAATTCCGAAATAGCTTTAACTTTTAGGCTTAGCTTGCAGTCGAAGACAAAGCTAACCAGGAAGCCGAAATATTGTTCACTTCATAGTACTGGCGCTAAATATTGTTGGAGGACTCGGGAAACTGTAGGTGTGGAATATACAGACTTGATGTGATGATGAACATCTTCAGGAGGCCAAATATTGGTCTACTCACATACAAAACTTTGGCGCTGATTAATTGGCTAAATTAATTACACATATCTTATTGGATTATAGTATTATATTTATAATACCTATATAAATATTGTCGATTTGTCAATTCATAAGTTAGAAAAGGAAATATTTAGTAATGTTTAGTATTTAGTTATATAGTATAGTATTTAGTATATATAGTATATAATATAAGTAGTATATATAATAATTAGCATATATAATATTGTATTTAGTAAATAAATAAAACACCAATATACCCTCTTCACTTTGTGAACACAAAACTCAAACTGTAAACTCCTAAGCACCGTCTATAGTAGCTTGAAATATTTGTCGCTAATTACAATAACAGCTTTTGTTTATAAGATCATAAGTAAACTACAGGTAAACTCCAGCTAATTTTCTGTTTTCTCAAGTTATATAAAAACATGAACAGCTTAATCATAGCTCAGAAGAAAAATTTCGTTTTTATCACACATAATTACATAAAAATATGATGATGCATATAATATAATATAATATTAAACAATAAATCGAAGAGAAAAATCGGTTAAGAAAAGAGATCTCAGCTTACTGCATTGATCAGGTATATAGATATAGATAAATTTCTATTTATTTTATACTTTATAATATTTTTATATTTATATTTATTATTATTTGTTTTATATTGTATTAAGAAATATATTGTATAAATCAGTTTTCCATTTCGATTAACAATAAATATACATACATATGTATGTATCTATCATGTGGAATCGCAATTTTTATTTCTTCATTTACCAAAGTCTTAATATAATAATCAATTTCAGTAATAATTAATTTCAATATAATTATATTCAAGACATACATAAATTAGTAATTTCATATTTCATATATTTCCTTATCGATTTTCCCCGAAAATCTATTAAGATTATATGGAAATGAAAATTTATAGCCCATTAAATATGCATAGGCATATCGCACAGCATGTCGCACAGCTTTTCCGTATTTCGAATTTTGTTTTGTTTGCCTTTTGTTTGGGCTGTCACTGTGACCCGTCGCTGTGACCCGTCACTGTTCCCATCATTGTCACTGCCACCGCTCGGGCACCTAAGCGAGGCATAGCCAATCAACTGAGTCGCCTGAGCAAATGCCCCGTGAGCTCTTCAAATGCTGTTCCTGTTCCTCGACCTTCACTTTAAATTGCCTCAGTGTGTGTATGTGTGTTTACTGTGTGTGTGTGTGTGTCATAAAAATACAAATCTCGCTTCATTTCATTTTCATGGTTTTTGTTACTCCAATTACCAATGCGATTTTCAGTCGTTTTCGCTATCTCTGTCTTGCTCACTGCCACTGCCTGTCTGTCTGCCGTCTCTCTCTCCCTCTCTCTCTCTCTCTACTTTCTGTCTGTCATCAGCTTAGCCCACATAACGGGCCACGTTATGTGATATATTGCCTGAATTATGGCTTGGCGAACATTTTGCACCTAAGCTGCGGCGCTGCTTTGTTGTTATTATCCCTTGAAATGCTCGACCCACCCCCATCGTCCTGTCGCGACCTGTTACCAAGATTAACGCGACATCGGAGTGGGCTGCCAGTGAGCGAGCTGCGAGCGGGCGCAAAAAGGACGAGCTGCAAAATCAGTCATAATATTTCAAATTTCATAAATTGATGCGTATCACATTAGACGGCAGCAGCAACAACAACAACAACAGCAACAACAACAACAAAGGCAAGGATAGCAGCTAACGGTAACGACGTTGTAGCTGGTGTCCTTGTTGTTGTTGTTATTATTGTTGTTATTGGTGCTGCTGCTGGTCCTGCTCAGTGAACAACCCTCGGGAACTGGCTTTGATAAACGCGCCCAGGGGCCCATTGAATTATGCTTTTGGGTGCGAGAGGTGTGGTCGCTGCCACGCCTACATTTCAACGCGCCTCACTAAATACAAATATATATAAAAATATATACATATATGTATATACGAGAATATCCTCTTTGATTTTGCTGCACGATTGATTTTCTCGCCCGCAGCCAAGAAGACGCCATCGTCGGCAGCATTCGTGTCCTTCAATCGCACCTGCGCTTAGTCCTGCCTCGACTTCAATTGCTCCCCAGACATGTGCGGGGGGATGGGCGGTAGCTGGAGCACGGCTTGGCTGTCCCATTTCATGGCCTGCGTTTATGCGACTATTTTATTTTTTATTGCTTTGCAGCCATAAAACAATAAAAAATTGTTGGTATTTGTATTGAAGCTCGATTGCTTGTGCAGCATCTCTAGCGGGAAATGCTTTTCTAATTAAATTTTATGGCATGTTCAATAAACTTTTCAAGATTAAATCGGGTGAAAATTACCTTAAATTCAATGCAGGAACGTTGCTCAAAAGCAAATAACTTAAATACAAAAATATTGTTGTTAATATTAAATTAGTATTATTATTGAATTCAATATTTGTAAACGCCTTAGATATCCTTTTTAAATTTAAAATAAACAGAAAATTTGCTTGAATTTGGAGCGCCATCTGTGTCTGCGAATTGAACCAGCAACGAAATAAATTTCATAGCAAGCAGCCTTAGCTGGCTCACATATTAAACTGTTATACTGAACGAGACAAAGGTGTTAACATTTGAACATTTTACAAGCAGTGCTCACTGTTAACATTCTTAACAACTTAACAGTTCCAGTCGAGCAGAAAGCCAGTCGAATGTTAAGACAGCTGATAGCCAACCACTTGATTCACATTTAGTCATTACGCGAATTAAAATTGTTTGGACCCTTAAGATTTTAAATTTGTAGTGTATTTATTTTATATTAGCCAAAATGCATGGGCGTGTTAAGGTGCGTACCACAGAGGAGGAGCGCGAGCGCAAGAAGAAGGAGCAAGTGCTTAAGATGCGCGCCTATCGGGCTGCTATGACTCGCATTCAGAAAAAACGCAGCCTCGGCGAACTAGATGACGAAATGCTTGGACTAACGGTACAAATACTGCTGCGTAACCCGGATATAACGACGTTGTGGAATATACGACGCGAATGCGTGCTGAGGAAGACAGCAGAATTGGAGAAAGCGATGGAGGAACATGAGGCACGGGCGAAGCAGCAGGTGGAGGCAGATGACGAGAGCGGCAAGCCAAAGGTGGGAGAAGAGGACGAGAGTGACAAGCCGAAGGTGGGAGAACAAGGCGATGGCGATAAGAAGGCAGACGAGGAGAAGGAAGACGATAAGAAAGAGATCTTGGCGCAACAGCTACAGTCGATCTATAAAACGGAGCTAGACCTCACCGAACAGTGCCTGATGGTGAACCCAAAGTCTTACAATGGTTGGCATCATCGCTGCTGGACCTTGGAGCAGAACCCCCAAGCCGATTGGCAGCGGGAGTTGCAGTTGTGCAACAAGTACTTGAAATACGATGAGCGTAACTTTCACACCTGGGACTACAGACGCTATGTGAGCGACAAGGCGTCGGTGCCCGCTGAGCAAGAGCTGGACTTTTGCACAGAGAAAATCAAAGTGAACTTCTCCAATTACTCCAGCTGGCATCATCGCAGCCTGCTGCTGCCCAAGCTGTATCCCAACGAGCAGCAGGATCGGCCCATGAGCGAGCACAAGCTGAAAGAGGAGCTGGAAATGGTGCTGACGGCGGCCTTCACGGACCCCAACGACAGCAGCGCCTGGTTCTATCAGCGCTGGCTGCTGGGCAGCGGATCGCAGAGCGAGCAAACAGCTACATTGGCTGCTTTTCGCTGTTGGCCCCATAAGGCGCAGCTGTCGCTAAAGAAATCCCATCCAGAGCTGGCAGAGCTCACGGTGCAGTTGATCAGCGGACAACAAACGCTGCAGCTGCAGCCATGGACAGCTGTGAATAGCGAGAAGAACCAATGGCAATGCGAGCAAGCCATAGAAATCGATCCAAGTCAAGATTATTTCCTGGATGTTGCTGGCCAACGCATGCAGCTGGCCGTGCAGCCCAGTGATCAGAGCCTTTACTATTTTGTGCCGCCGCATGCAACCTCCAGCTGCAGCAAGGAGCTGCTTGCCGAGCTGCAAACACAGCTCCAATCCTGCCTAGACCTGCTCGAATACGAGCCGGACAGCAAGTGGACGCTGCTGACTAGTGCGCTGCTCATGCGCGCCATCGACGTGAGCAGCTATCATGAGCAGAGCTTGACGCATCTGACCAAACTGGAGCAGGTGGACGCTCTGCGTCAGGGCTACTACAAGGACTTATCCGCACGCTGGACCATGGAAATGGCCTTGGCCAAATGGCCCGCCTCGTCCAGCTATCCGCAACGATTCGAGATGCCCACCAAAATGTCTAGGATGCCCTATGCCCAGTATTTGATTGTGGCGGACGAAATATCCAGCTGAATTTATAGTGTGAGATTTAAATGGCTGTAATTCCGTATAATTTTTGTTAATTTTAATATTTCATTTGCAGCTCATCTGGATGTTGCTTAGAAATAATATTTTTGGCTTGATCGGGCATTGATTTTTGCTAGTATCCATACAATATTCCAGTTTAGCGCACGGCTTTCTTATACACACGTTTTGTATATACTATTTATATGATCAACGCCTCAACGCTGAACACATATTTAAATAAACATTTTTATACGCTTAGTGAAACATATATAGTTATATGTGTGCATTACGGATATTCCTGGAGTATGGCAATGCAGAAACTATTTTAGAGCAGCACGAAAATGAATTTCGCTTCTAGAATAATATTCAACTCAATCATGCATATATATGTTTATGTATATCTATGGTCTCTTGTGAAATTTTAGTTTTAATGCAATTCATCGTGACTTTCATGAGCATCAGCTGCTCACCTGACCAAGCATGCCGAAGGAGCTCTGCCTTGGCTCTTTCCTTGACTAGATTTGTTGGTTTTTTGTGTGACTTCTGTTGCATAAATTATTATAGAAGCGTTGTCAGTGAATGGCTTCACGCGCTCGCAGCATTGGCAGCCACATGTCATTACGTGTCACATGAGCTGACAGCAACATGTGGCAAGGAACGTGAGCGTGTGTGTGTGTGGGTGTGTGAATGTGTAATAATGTGAGATGCTTTGGCATCAAAGTGTTAATGCATCCGCAACAACCTGGTCTACCCTCACCTGATGCTGGAAATTCCAAGCAAACTTTAAATACTGCTGTTGCTGCTGATGCAACTGTTGTTGTTGCTGTTGCTGTTCCTGTTGCCATTGCAATTGTTATTGATACTCCTGCTACTTTTTTATTTCTTTTGCCAACAGCGAGAGCTCCTTTGGCTAGTGGTGCTCCTTTTGCTTCTGCTATTTCCTTTGCGGCTGCTTCTTCTTCTCGTGTTGCATGTAGAAATAAACGAGCAGCTGCTTTAATGCACATCACGCACACTAGCGCCATCCATATCATATCCATATCAACAGCAACGTCTTGGCATTTAAATTTCCGAAGCAATCCACACACATCTCCATCTCCATCTCCATCTCCCTCCATCGCCCTCTCGTCTGCATAATATGAATGGCTGGCACTGCTGGCACTTCCTCCTCCTGCTGCTGCTGCTGTTTGCTCTTCGTCTCGAGTTAATGCTAATTATGCCGCATCTTGTAAATATTTTGACTTTGTGCATTTGCTGGAGCAGTGAAACGTGACATTGACACGTTGATGTTCATTAAATTATTTGACGCCAATTATTTGTGCAGTGGGCGTGGCCGAGCAAGCAGCCAGCAGCATAGGCGCTGAGACATCGCAAACTCAATTAATGAGACACGAGTGACATCTGCGGCGAGTAAACACAGGAAATGCAGGATGCGCAGCTGATGCAATCTTGGGCGCACAAATTGCCTTCTGTTAGCTCGTGCAGATTGGAATATTGATTAATTGACTGATAGCAGTCGCAACTGACGGACTTGTACCGATTATGGGTGTTAGATGATACGGTATTATTATGAAGAGGAATTTACTCACTTCCTCCCAGTATGAGAGATATTCTTGATTAAGGCAAACACTAGTCGCAATTGATTGAATAACGCAGTTTCTCGTTGAATTGTTATTGCTTACTTTCAGTCGCCCGACTTCTAGATACCCTACCTTTTTTAGTCACAAGCTTGAAATGAATCACAAAATGAAATGTTCAACGAATAATTAAATAAATTAAAACTTAAGTGAAATATGAAAATTGATTTCATAATTTTAGTGATTGAGTCTCGCTAAGACCGAGTAGAACCTCGAATTAGATGAGTATTAAAATTGTCCGACCATTTAAAGGTTTCTTTGTTCTAAGCCTCAAGTTTCTATTGTCCATAAGTTTGGATATGCCTAGAAATATATATAAATTTGTAGTCCTGTTAATTGCATCCTATTTGTAAATCTTAAATTCTTGCAGAAAATATAGATTTAATTATATAATATTAACAATTATTTAATATTTACAAACGTGAAAGGAATGACTCAAATGCACTAATAAAATGCATAATTTGAATACGCATTTCTTTTCGAAACTCATTTCACAGGAAGCACAAGCCGAGGAGGAGATAGAAGATAGGAGTTCTGCCTCTAGCTCTTGTAGTTCACGAGAAATGAGGCATATTTTGCAGTTGCTCTCTGGAATATAGCTGTGGCATTCACTTGACTTTTCCTATTTTTTACTTTATTTCAAATATATTTTGGTAGATTTGATCTCTTGCAATTGATTTTATCTCTATTAATTAAAATGCCGGAAGTGTTTTAGCTGGTACAACGGCAATTGCTGTTACTTTTATGACCCTAACCAATCTCAGCACATATCGCAGCGTTTCTTTGGCTGTTGCTGCTGTTGGTGCAACTGTTGTTGCCGTTGCCGTTGTTGTCAAAACTTTAATTGCCTTTCGTCCAAAAACTTTGCAAAACTCGGCGCAGTGCATTCTGTTAACATTTCCTGTGAGTTTTTCGGCAACGCTGCATTCCCAACGTAACTTCCACCGGCCACGCCCCCTTGCACAGGCTGCGCCCGGTCGACAGCCGTTGTGTCAGCCTCCAGCTGGCAAAGACTTGAACTCTGCCGTAGTCGTCCCCTTGTTTTGTATGCCCTTTTAATTGCCCATTGAAAGTTGTTCACTTGTTAAAATGAACTTTTGCCTTTGGCACCAATACAGCTGGCCCCGGCCACGTTCCTTTGCCACAAGCCTTGCCACTCGGGCAGAGCAAGTGACAAAGTTGCCAGCGAAGTGTAAGCAACAAGCAGCCTGAAAGTATGTGTTGTGCAATTAGAAAGCAGGAGCCAGAGACGCTTTAATCGAATCGCAGTCTATTGAATTTACTCAAACGAGAACAACAACAAAACATTTCACAAACTTTTTACCTTAAAGCAGGTGTTTAACAAACACTTTGGCTAATGGTTATTTATTTATTTTACGTTTCCTAAAGGTGATGAGGGAAATTTCAGAAGAGCTGCTTGATCGAGTTGATGATATTGATATTGATGTTATATATTATATTTATGTGTATGACGAATGCTCTGGGAGAGCATCAGTAGAAGATCTGCCTTATAAAAAACATATATTTGACATTCTTACCATTCAATCTGTATTACTACTTTTAATTTAATCTATTATTCAGGGTATATAGAGGTCTATATGTGTATATAATATATAAATCAGGCATTTTAACACCAGCCACAGTTAATAACTCCACTTGCCTTGTCTACATTACAGGGTATACTGCACATTCGTATGCTCCTCTGGTTATCTAGGCAACATTTATTATACGGTTACAAACGCCTGTCTGCTTATCTAAAATTTCATCTTTTGTTTCTCGAGTTGATTTTTTGGTTTCACATTTTTGTTTATAATTTCCATCTGTCTGCGGTTGGCTTAAGCACATTTCAATCTCAACAATGGGAGCAGCTAGCTAAAAACTTTACTGCTCTGATTTTTACCATGCAGTTTCGTGTTTGTAAAGTGTCTGGCATTCTCTGTCTATTCTCTCTGTGTGTGTGTGTGTGTGAGTGTGTGTGTGTGAGGGAGATATGGCCTGTGGGCGTTTAGACATGAATTATATTTCAGGAACTAAAAGCCATATATAACAAACGTTGCTCTGAGTTATGAAGGTAGAGTGTCAAACGTGACAAATATATAGAGAAAAATGTTGCAGGAATAAAACTCAGGATACAAAGTACGTAAAAATATGAGAATTGTGAAATAGCATTTTCTGTGATTATTTTATTTCACTGTATTTCTCGTTTGCTCAGACTCGATGTCTCCATTTGCCTCAATCTCTCAGTTTTCACTCGTTCTCCCAATTATCTTTCAATTTTTTCCGACTACCTTTCTCTCTCCTCTCTGCTCGATTTCTTCTCTTTCTATCGTTTTCTTTAATTTGCTTTCCCCCTCTCCCCCTTTTCTCTCTCTCTCTCTCTTTCTCTCTCTGTTACTCTATATCTCTTTCTATCCCTCTAATTTTCTTTCTTTCTCTTTACCTTTCTCTCTCTCTTTTTCACTCTATATCTTTTTCTATCCCTTTTTGACCGTCCCTCCCAATTTCTCTTACCCTATGACTCTTTTCCTTGTTCGCTTCCTCTCTCCCACTCATGCGTACTCTCTCCATCTCCCTCACTCTCTCATTTTCAAATTTCCAGCAAGAGTTTCAATATTTATATGCAATACATCACATAAATTGACTGATTTCATAATTTATACGTTCCATTCAATATATGCGCATGCTATATAACAATGCTATAATAGTTAAGTGATAGCAACAATGGCGCCACTGTACAGCCATCCACATACACTGCTAGCACACACACACACACGCACACACACACGCACACATAAATGCATATTTATGCACAATAAACATTAATTTACTTGCCATTTAGCTAGATGCACAGTTAATTGAAAGCAACAACAAGAACAACAACAATGAAATGAGCATCTACACAGAGCACACCAGCCAGTGCACCAGCAGCAGTGCACCACCCATTACACCGCCCCACACCCACTCGGTCGCCTGATGCTCGGCAACTTTGGTAGCAGCCAAAAGCCAAACAACTTAAATTATGCAAGAAGTGGAAAATGTGGCAACAAAAATTGCATGCAGCGAGCATGAACTGGCCGTTGTTTGCATTGCATTGGGCGCTGAGTGGACAAGCGGAAGGCCCACTGGGGGGCGTGGCAGTTGACGGTTAAAGCATTTGGTGATGTCAAATTTAATTGCAATTAATGTTTAGCTAAGCGGAAATGGCGCAGCATCCACAGTAGGAAGCAGCAAGCAGCAAGCAGCGTGCAGCTGACACTTCCGGCAAAAGTTGGACAACAATTTTGATGCCACATGTAGCAGCAGCAGCTAAAATTCATAAGAGCTCGGACAACGCGTGTCACCTGCAGCCGTGCAACTGCAACAACAGCAGCAGCAGGAGCAGCAGCAGCAGCAGCAGCAGCAGCAGCAGGAGCAGTAGCAGCAGCAGCAGCCGTTACTTTAAACGGACGCTGTGATGGGTCTCCATTGCAGCCGGAATTCAATTACTTGTGCTCCATAAACCGATTAACTTGTATAAATATTTATATCGCTGCAATGCACTCCCACGCGCACACATTGGCTAGGCCTGGGGCGTGGCTGGTCGATCGTGTGCCTTTGCATATGCAAACACATTTACAGCATTTACAGCATTTACAGCAGCAGCGTCCATCCCTTGACTGCATTGCAATAATTCCATTCAGCATTTGCATTTGTTGGCGTTTATGGTCCACTTAAGTGTTGTCATTCGCATCCCTGGATGGCCAAGGATTTAATGATAACACGCTAGGTGTCATTTACAGGCGACACGACTGTGCCACTTTGTGCATGTGTGTGTGTGTGTGGGTGTATGCAATGGTCATGTGAAGCGAAGCGAGAGACAAGCTCTGGGCTCGGAGCAAAGCTGATCGAGAATGGCTTGCAGGAGGCGTGGAGGCGTAGCAGTGTACCCCGCCCATCAATGTGTACACAGGGTGTTTAGTAATTGTGATGTCTCTCTCTCCCTCCCTCTCCCTCTCTCCCTCTCTCTTTTGTTTAGTCTGTGTGTTTGGTTGCGTTTATGGGCGACAGCACTTGCCAGCAGAATGGGGCTAATCTCATGGCCCCAGCAGTGTGGGCCAACTTGTGGCTAGACTTTGGTCTGATTTATTGGCCAACGTTGCGTTAAGCTAGATGTCACAAATGTCAGTTGATGTGGATTTTGTTAATGGCCACAGAGCTACAGAGTGTTTGATATGTTATCTGCGCTTCATACTATATTAGATATAAAGCGATTTGCACTCATTGACGGACTGACTGATTGCCTGACTGATTGATTGCCAAACCATGAACTTGCTTAGTGCTAGCGCAAAAAATAGAATGTTTTGATTTCTTTTTTACAGAAGCGTGGCTTGCCGAAGACTCTCAGAATGAGAGCAATAAAGTGTTTGTACAGTTAGTTTAAGGGGTTGAGGTTGGTACATATCAAAATATTTACAATTTAGTATTTTTTACAGAAAATAATCTAATATTTTATTAATAATGACGATGAGCTGTGCCTGCTTTAAATGCATTCTGACCTTAGCTCGGAGATACACATATGTATGTAAGATAACACACACACTCGCTCTCGCTCTGAGCAAGAGCATTCGTGTTTAAACCGTCTTCATGTGAGAGATTTGCGTTGAGATATCTGAGGTTTGCTCTTTAAAGACCGTCGTTTCGGAAGTGATACGATTAACTCTCGCAGAATAAGACTTCGAAGTTGACGTCTTCCCTTTCACATACGCATGCACACACTCATGCTCAGGTAAGCTGTTGATGTGCCTAGCGAGCAGAACTCTCGCGTACATATACACACACACACACACACACACAAAAGTGACGTTTTGCTGCATTGAACTCAACAAAAAAGTCTTGGAGTATCGAGGTCGGA